ATTGCTGTATAAACGCCTGTATAAACGCGAGTGAGCATTATCATCCCTTCCTCTTTACTACTAGTTTTAACGCAAAATAAACATGAATGAACATCTCACGCCTTATGAAATCGCTCAATCAGTGTTTCAACTGTGGAAAGACGTCGATAAAACAGCTTGTACACAAAATGTCACGAAGCATTTCATTTACTTCAGGCAAGTCATCAGCGTCTACATCTCGTTATTTGCTAGAGAAATGAAGTCTAGAGAAGAGCATTTCGTGAAATATTACACTATATACTCATTATATTTTACATTACCTGTTAGTGATGTCTTAATTAATGTAGCCTGTTTAAATGGATCTGTTATGAAAAAGTAATGACAGCAACTGTAACCTATAAACGAATATATATATATATATATATATATATATATATATAAATAATTTATTTATTACAAACTTAACATTATAGTAATATAATGTATTTAAAATACATTTATTTCATACTAGTTCAAATCTGTTAACATTTTATTTGTGTTTTTGTCTCTTTATACTCTATTACCAGTATATATATAAAAAATACATTAAACTTTATTTGGAGTACTACTTGCGCACAATGCACATTTCTCAATATTAAGGCTAAAATGTGTTTTAAATGTCACTATTGATGAGGATTGTATGATCTTTGAATAATATCAGTCTTTAAATGCAATATATTTAAAATGTACCAAAAGTATGGTTGGCAATAGTTTCACTTTTAACACAATGTAATATACTTCAGTACATCTTTAGTTGGACTTACAATTAAAGTGCAGTAAGTACAAAATTTGCTGTTTCTGCTGTTTCAAATAAGTATACCAGTTTATTATGTAAATAATACGTAAATGTATTTGTAGTATGCTTAGCATGCTTAGCATGACTTTCAAATACTTTTCTCTATATTTATTTTTCACTAGAGAAGTCATCTGAGGTAAAACAACAAAAAGTAAGTTTTTGTGAGAGCAGTTATAGTTTCATCGAGCCAAATATACAAGTTTCCATCTGCATTTTTCCAAAGTGCTGCTGCAAATGTAGTAGGTTTGTTATGTTAAATCTCTGCATCTTGGACAGAACACAACACTTTAATTATCTGACATGCTTAGATGCTCGGAAAATAAACACTTGAAACCCTTTCATTCCACATCGTCTGGCACAGACTTCAGATATGTTATAGGAGAACCATGGTACTAACAAAAAAACATTATCTTAGCTGAACCACACTGAAAAACACAAAGCAAAACAATACTGCTGTTTAACATTGGCAACCTAGCATAGTAATGCATTCAGCAAATTCTAGAGAAATGCGGATTGACAGTGCGTAGACATGACTAAACTTCATCAGAAACCAGTTGCACACCTCAAACTGGTCTGACAGGTTTCACTAATGTGCCACTATACACGCAAATATATACTTTAATAAATGCACACAAGGGTAAACCCAGGATAGACATACATAAGGACGTAGCAGACCAGACACCAAACAGTGAAATGAACACAACTAAAATAGGGGTGCTAACGAGGGACAGACAGGTGTAGAGGATCAACTAATGAGGACACAGGTGAACATAATCAAAGACGGGGGAAAACTGGGTCACACTGAGCACATGGGGCATGAAAACACAACAAAACAGTTCAAGGGTGTGTCCAAAAATAAAATAAAATGCTGAATATGAATGTATGAAAAATTGCCAGATTTATATAACACAGACGGATGGCACAAGCAGTGACATTTGAATTGCTACAAAATGTTATTAAATCTGATTTGAGATGAAGTTAATTGAATTATTTGATGCTCACTTCCCTTCCCTAGACGTGTCCCATAGCCAAAATATTAGTCCTGTCAAACGATTAATCGCAATTAATTGCATGCAAAATAAATTTGTTGTTTACATAATATATGTGTGTCTACTGTATATATGTCTTATGTATATATAAATACACACACATGCAGTATATATTTTGAAAATATTTACATGTATATATTTATATTCATATAATTTATATTATATATAAATATATTTAAAAAATAAACATAACATATGTTTCTGAAATATATGCATGCATGTGTGTGTGTTTATATATACATAATAAATAAACACAGTACACACACATATATTATGTAAACAAAAACTTTTATGTTGGATGTGATTAATCGCGATTAATCGTTTGACAGCACTACAAAATATACAAATGCAAAAACTTTAAGTAAGAAAAGTGGACATCTCAAATACAGTGCAATGAAATAGCCTAAGGTTTTGTCCTTTTTAGCTCACTGCAAACAAACAGGCATGCCACAAAACTTGGCACATTTGACACTGAATGCATAACTCATTAAAACAACACCAAAAGATGACCTAAACGGAAAAATATGTTGATTTTTTTAACCACTAAAATAATTTTGATACAAACTGAAACCATATTCCTTGAGTAAAACCCCCTCCATAGTAACAACGAACGACCCTTCACTACTTTCACAATATTAGTGACCAATATTGAATC